AGCAGGAAGTTGGCGGTGTGGGCGGCGGCCGGGGGCTGGTTGGGGATGGGCCGGTGGCCCAGGGCCATGCCCACGATGGCAGTCATGTGGGTCTCCGTGCCAAAGACATGGATGGGGATCCCCGTGGTCTTCCCTGCATGTGCACACAACAATGGTCAGCCTTGGCTGGGGAAGAGAAGGAGCAAGAGGAGCTTCTGCCAACGCAAAGCATTTAACCTCGAGAAGGCTCAGCAGAAGCAGGGGAGGAAGAAAATGAGATTGAGTCTTAAAGAGCTGGTTGGTCCTTACCAACTTCTCCCATGACACGTAATCCTTCCTGGTAGTTGGGGCCTCCTCTTCTCACAAAGATCCTCACCTCATGCTCCTTCAGAGGGCCCTGGTAATCCTTGATCGCTCTCACAATGCCCTAAAAGAAACACAGGACAGGTGAGCTGGGCAGCTTGGTGTTCACACCCTGTCCCATCATCTGGAGGAACTCCTGGAGAAGATGCACTGTCAGCTCAGTACACCACTGTACAGGGGAGGACAGGTGGCTGTGGGTGTTTGCTGCTGCTCCTGGACAGTCACTCACTTTGAAGGTGGCTGCGACGTTGGTGAAGTTGGCGATGCTGCCTCCAATGATCAGGATTTTACCTGAGAGAAGAAACGGGCATAAATAAAACTGTTTTGAGAACACTCTGTACTGCAAGGTGATGAAGCAGCACAGCCCATGCTGCAGCTCACACTAGCCAGCAGTTTGCACTAAGCTGTGTTAGCAGAGCCTGGATGATAAAACCTTTCTATCAAGCAGAAATGTATTTCTGATAATCTCTGGAGCCACATTTGCTCTTTGCCACATGAAAAACCACAAGTTCTGTCTCTGACAGAAATCCATCATCACTTCACTCAGAATGCAGCTGTACACGAAAAGCTCTGCCAGGGAGGTCTAAGCAGTGTAACAGACCAGATTTGTCCAGTTCTTTCCCCACAAGCAGCTTCACAGCTGAGCAGCCTGGAAATCACAGACTCCCTTACCCTCAGGGTGCTTCTCTCGGGTCATGAGGGACAGGATGGTCTTGGCATAGTCGTAGGTCTGTTGCTCACTTGGGGCTCCTGAGTACTCCCCATAGTTAGCCAGCTCATTCACACCCCCCAGGTCACAAATGGTGTCACTGTAAAAAAAGTTATTTAAGAGATCAGTTATAATTCTAAACACTCTAAAGGACCTAAAGCATTCCAGCTTCCTGGTCAAGTGGGAATTGCAAGAGACATCACACTGCCTGCTGAAAACAAAGCTGCCCTCCTCTTGGTGCCAGTCAGGATGAATCTTGTTTTACTTCCTAGATATGATGGGAACTCTGTGACTACCACAGCAACGGTGCCACCATGAACAGCTTTCAGCCAGATTGCTTCTTTCCAAGTCAAAAAACCCCACGTATCTCAACCTCCCAGAATTATCATCTCTGGGGGACACTAAGTTCCACAGTTTGCTAAGAAACCTGTGCAGCATCTTCATGCTGAATCAGTCCCACCAGTCATGGTGTGGAAAAGACTGATTTAGCAGAGTCTCCTTCCAGAGGCTGCATCAGTTATTTTCTTCCAGCACTGTTAATTCACCCCCCCCTCTGGAAACCTTGTTCCTGTTACCTGTAAACCACAGAGGCTCCACCACCAGCCACCATGGTCCAGATCCTGCCTTTGGGGTTGAGAATAGTGAGCTTCAAGCTGGCTCCACTCTTTGCATCCAGGTCAGCAATGTAGGCTTCCTGCAGAGACATCAGCACACAACTTAAACCCCTCCTGCACATTCCTTTTCCAAACCAGAGGCTCCATAGTGCTGGGCCCTCCTGGACAGGCAGAGCTTCCAAACTCCCCTCAGCCACAACAGAGGGCAGAGCAGAACTACAAACACCATTTTTTTAAGGGATAGAGCTTCATCTCTGAGGGGCCAGGACAGACCTCTGGGAGGTGTTCTCCAGGGCAGAACACTGAACCTGAAAGGGTTACACACACCTTGTGCCACTCTCTCTGTAACAAATTCAAAGGGGACCAGCCTGAGCACATGCTCAAGTTTTGATTCCTGCTTGGAAACAAAATCAGGCCCTCTCAAGAGCAGGTTGTCTTTATAAGGCCTGCTGGCTTGTCTCTTGTTTGTCCCAGGTGAAGTCAGAAGTGATTGCTATAGATAAATTTGATATTACTTCATTTGTGGAGTGCAGACCCAGAAGCAGGTTTTTCCAGTTTGCACATGAAAAACTTTGGGAAAGCAGCTGAGTGTTGGTTGTTTCCCTCAGCTGAAACTGCACTGGTCCTTTCCTGCACTGCTCAGCCAGCCCTGGGAATCTCTCAGGTTTTATAGTTCCAGATAAAACAGTCACAGAACCAAATCTGAACTGAAAAGTCTTGTTCTGACCTTGCCTGCAGACTGAGACCAGAGGAAATTTAAAGATCAACACACCCATGGCTCCACTCTCTCTGCTGTGCCTCAGCCAACAACAATCACCACGAGAGCTGCAATTTGGCTCAACGTGGTGTTCCTGCATCACACTGTGCTTGCCTGTTGAGAAACACTTCATTGGCAGTTCATTAAGATTCACAGCAAAGACCCTGCCATAATAACCTTCCCAGTGACTTGCAGAGGGATGAATCAGAGACAAAAATTGAACTAATCCTTTTAAGAGCAAACTGAGTTAAGTGTTGACATCCAGCAAGTGACATGGAGAGAAACAGCTAAATGGATTTCCTGGCCACGTTACAAAAAACTTCCCCAACTGAAGCATAATTATTAAAACGAAAAAGTTAGGACAGAAACCCTTTTTGAGCCAGCAGGACAGTCACCTGAAATAAGTAACTGAGCAATTAAGGGGAGAGCTCTACTGCAACAGCTTTTGAGGCTGCTGGGAGGCTCCATATGAAGTGGTATTAATGCATCCAGCAGAACAAACCCAGGAAAGTCTGAGAGGGAAGAGGCATTTCTAACTTTGAAAAAGAAAGTTTGCCTGCAGGCCTCCTCTTTGTCATCACTTTTCAGGAAAACATGTGCACTACCATCCTAACTTTCACTTCTGTTTGAAAGGTGACAATTATTTTCCCTGGATTCACACTCACACGCAGATTTTGCACAGAACTGCTGCTCTGCTCTCAGAACCTGCAGCTGAACCATGGGGGGAGCATCAGCTGGGCCAGAGTGGTTGTTACTTGCCTCTGGGTAGGCCTCCCTGCCAAAGGGAGGGGGGAACTCCACATCCCCCCACTTCACTTTGCAGATGTAGTCAGCAGTTGCATCGATCTTGGCAGCCAAATCGAGGATGTAGACACCATCCTGAGTCACCACTGCGTTTGCAAAAGACAGTAAACAACAAACCAGCCAGAATTTACTGTTTGTACAAAGATGTGCTGCAGATTCACTCATAAAATTTGACACCACACAGAGAATGTTACCAAAGCCAGGTCACCCTTGTCCCCTTCCTCCCCACTGGTTACTCAGTTTATTTACCCAGGCCTTGGGAACAGGCTGGTGGTCATGGCCAGGCCCTGGCTCAGGTGCTGTTTTGTTCTGATGCAACAGAGCAATTTTTATGTGCTAAAATCCTGGCTTAACACCTCTTTCAATGGAATTTTTCATTTCCACCAGGAAATGAGGTAACAGAGAGCACTGCAAGGAGCCCTTGCATTCAGCTAATAGCTCCAGAACACATCCCAGCCACTTCTGCACTCTAACAGCACCTGGTGTTCTTGTGAACAACACCAACCAGCCAAGGAGAAAGTACACAGTTCAGTACTTTAGAACAGAAAGTCCCACTCCCCACAATATCTGTTACCTAATGGATTGATCTCAAGGTATGTGAAATATAAATCTTCATAAAGGTTGAACAGGCCACAGATGAAGCTAGCCAAGACACTATAAAAAAATGTAACACAAATTAATTAAAGCAGTGAAATATAAAGCACAGCCTGCTCTGCTCCATTTGTATTAATGGCAATCTGCACAGCTACTCTGTCTCAATTTCTTTCATTCTCATTCATCTTTTCTGGAAGAAGCCTGGGTGATGACTCAAGGAAAAGAAGACCTTGATGACTCATCTTAATTACACTCCACCAAACTCTGCTGAGAACAGAGTTGCTCACAACTGTCATATAGATATTCAGTCTGTTTAATGTCCCTGAGAGACAAAAAAGCAGCACAGTCTGTCAGTGTCAGATATGCATGTTTGTCAGAACTAGGGTTCATTAGCTGGGATGGAGAAGAAACTGCAGTAAATTACATTAGTGACAGGCCTTTCCAGCCTGCACAATCCTTCAGAGATTACGTTATGTTTGGAAAAACCATTACTCATATTCAGATAACTAGCTACAGGCATCTAATTAAAGGAGATAGAGAAGAAGCTTTGAGATCTACAGATGAGCTTGCAGTGTGCATAGGAATAGCAAGAGAATGCCTTCTTGCATTCTAGGGTAGAGTAAGGGAGAGTGCATTTCTGAACTGGCAGTCAGATTCATATCTTATCAGCATTCCTACTAAATAAACTTTTATGCTGGCACAAAAGATCAAAATTAATTGTATCTCCAACATCCCAGAGGTCAGGACTTCAGCTGGACTGAGAAGTGCTCCTGTCAAGTGAAGGCTCAAAGCTCTAGGAACATTTACTTTGAGTTTTACAGGAGTCTCAAAAGGCCAAGGAACTTGGATTTAGGATGCATGGCATGTTCTTGAGAGCAGCAGGAAGGGCAAGAGGACAAGCTTCAGGGTGAGACAGAACAGAGCAACACTGCACTGAAACAAAGGATTGGAACTTCTGGCCCTACCCAAATTGTGCAGCTGTACTTACTCCTTTTTATTTGCTGGTGCATGCTGCAGGAGATGTTTCTTTACATCTGATTCATTCAGCTTTTCATCCACTGCCACAAGCAACTTCTGAGCTTTGGCATCAACATCTCCCACGTCCACACCCCCCTCGTGGTGGAAGAGCACATAGTCTCCCTCACGGGCAGCATAGATGCACACATAGAACTCTTCCTCCTGCACAGAGCCAGGCACAAACATCAGCAAGTCACACCCAGAGAAGACCCTGAAGAAGAGGCTCTTGTGTCAATGGTGGGGAAGGGGAAGCTGAGCCCATCACTGACCCTCCCCAGGAGAAGCAGAACTGGAGCTGCACAGACACCCCCAGGGTTGTATAGGCTGTGCTGGCACGGGAGGGAGAACAGCAGGGCCCAGAGTGCTCCATCCTAGTGAAACGTGCCAGGGACAACACTGCTCTGGTCTCACACACCTGTAGCACAAACCAAGCACCTCTTGGTTCACCTCTTGAAAGCACCTCTGCCTTAGGTAACTGCCCCTTCCTGCAAACCCTGCAGAGGATGAACGTTCCACCAGCATAAACAGATCTCTCACATCAACAGTTTGCTATTCACATGTGGGAGCACCAGACTCAGAGCAGTGAGCTGCCTGTTCCCAACCAACCAGGTCCCTCTCAGGTGATCTGTAGCCCCGAGAAACCCACATGGTTATTGACACTCTTGGCAGGACTGACACTGCACTTGCAGGCAGCTCTGACCACGGTCAGCTCGACAACAAACTCCAGAACTCCTGCTTTCTCCACTATATCAACCCAAATAAATCACATACAAGTCAGAACAGACTAAAAAGCACTATTTTTTTACTTGGCATACTAACCTGTTTGTGAGGGACAAAGGGTTCAATCAGAAAATTCTTTAGGATTCCCTTAGCATTAGCAATCTGTAGGCAGAAAACAAAGAAATGCCAATAAATGCTTGTCCAATATCCATGTTCATGACAAACAAGGCAAGTGTTGAGAATGACTCAACACAGCTCTGAAGAGAACTCCTCCCAGGCACCTCCTGGTTCCTGGGGAACCATCCTCCTCCCTCTCCAGCACAGCATCCAGCACTGTCACTGCCAGACATGCTGCTGTGCTGCTCCAGGGGGTGTGAACATCAAAGGTAACAGGGGCTGGTCCCTTCCCGTTCCTGACAGCACAGGCAGCTGTCCAAGAACGAGACCAGGATGGCTCTTCACCTCCTTCCCTGAGACAGCACATTTCAGAGCACTGCTCAGGGCAGTGTGAAATGCAATAGCTGAAGCTGCTGCTTGGAACTTAGGAAAAACCAGAAGTGAAGGGACTCCTGAGCCAGACAGGGAGCAGCAGGAGCAGGGTCCTCTGCTCAGCACTTGCCCTGGAAGTGGTTTCTGTGGGCACAGAGGAGCAAGATCACCCTCAGCCTCTTCCTACAGGGACAGACAGAAAAGGTCCTGCCTGGGCACTTTCCTGCTGTCCAAACCATGTCACCTGGCTCAAGGGACACTCGTGCACAGGCCATGGGAGATGCCCCTACATTCCCTTAGATGTGACTGATGGGTTGTGCCAAAGAAGCCATTTCAACATCCAGGGTTTCCTGCTGGGCAGGCACGGGGGAGGCAGCTGCTGCTGTTTCACAATGGCCTCCAGGTGAGCACAGCTCAGAGGTGGAACCAGCAGCAGATCAATAACAGCAGGGCCAAGGCATCAGTTTCCTTGAGGTGGCAGAACTATAACAGCTCCTGAAACCCAGCAGCCCGGATGGCAGGTGCTTCATTAGCATTGCAGTATTGTTCCCAGGAGAATCAATATTACAAGCCAGCACAGAGTTAAAATGAGGACTTGAAGTAACACTCGGTCATCAGCCAAAATGCACTGGCTGGCTATAATAAAAGGACAATTTTATGACAGCTTTTATATTTGCCTTCTTAAATCTGCCTTGGGTATTAAAGTGAAGCAGCTGTGCCAGCCAGACAGCACTTGAGCTACCAACTGCTGGTTGCCAAGTGGAAGGGATCTCCAAAATGGAACAAATTCCCACCACAGAGCAGAGCTGGACAGTAACAGGGAGCACAGCCTAGTGCTCCCCACCAAGCTGTGTCGTGTACCAGCACTCATTCCCCAGCAGGAAGGTCACACGTGAGACAGTTTCTCACTTGCTTTGGCATCAGCCTAACGTGCATTTTAAGCCCCCATGCACAGAGGCAGAAAAGACACAGCCAGTCTGACATCTGGTTGCTGAGGTGGCACTCACCGTGGTTTCTTGGCCCAGACGCTGTTTGAGCCAAACCTTCACCTGCTCCAGGGTCAGGTTAATTCCAACCAGTCCAAGCTTCCCACGTCGCTTGATCAGCTGATCTGGCTTCACCACCAAACGCTGCAACGTTGTGCATGAGGGATGAAAAGAGAAGCATTAGGGAGGAATTTTGGTCGAGCGACTCTCCACAGATAATCAGACAAAAACTTGAATTCTGCATGGAAATATCCTTGCAGAATTTCTTTCATCTCATGGTAAATCCACCTCCGGGATGCCATTCTCCTGCACAGGTGGGCCCTGCAGCCCTTCCTAGCACAGAACTCTGCCCTAAAGGACAGAGAACATCCCTGCTCCCTTCTGGCTTCCTGCAGGTCTTTTTAGAAGCACTGCTGATACCTTCCAGCAATTCACTCATGCATTTGGGTATGGAACATTTAATTACCCAGTGTAGGGCTTCTATCAGCCAGTCAGTAAAAGGACTGAGAAACAGTAATGTTCTACCAACCAATGATTTAATATAATTAACCACTGGAAAGAAGCCAGCTTGGACAACTGATTAAAAGAGCTCTGGATGTTTTCTCTACAGAAAGCACAGGGCTATGAAACACAGGGATATATATAAGGTAAAAGCAAAGAAGTTGTTCTCCCTGCCATTTTGCTTGGGCACAGGGAACGTGGGCAGCCGCCAAAGGGAGCACAACGACTGGTCCTGGGCAGGGCACTGCCTGATGTCAGAGACTCAGCAGACTCTTGCTTTGTCTGAATCAGCCTCGTTTACCTTCTGTGCAGTTATTAGAAGTCCCTTGTTTACAGATACCTCTGCTCATGTATTTTATGGTCCTCAAAGGGATTTTATCACCAGCCCTCCCAGAAGGCAACCTGGCAGCCTCAAAGCTGTTTCCTCATCAGTGTTGCAAGTGCATGTTGCAGAGCAGCAGCAGCAGGGACCGGTCCTTCAGGAAAGCTCCCGAGTTCAGTGCTGCTCCCAACCTGCCCCAGCACGACGAGCCTGCCCAGGGGGGCAGGGGCTCAGCAGGGTGGCACAACCCCCCCATACCTCACTCAGCAGCCAGGGGTGATCCTGGGTGAGCCGGGCCCAGTCAGTGTCCGGGGTGACCCGAGCATACTTGAAGCGGTTCTGGATGGCAGAGGATGTGCAGATATACTTGTAGAGGAACTCCTTCCCCGTCTGCTCAGAGATGGCTTTGGCTGACATGGCTACCTAGTCTGAATTGAGGAAAAATAGCAGTCATCAGGAATCAAGCCCAGTTCTCCCAGAAAACTCCCCATCACCAAAATGGATGCAAAGCCAAAACAAATAGAGCAGGGGCTGCAGCTCCTCGTTATAAACAAGACTACAGATCCCACCTGGCAAGCAAGGACTATTCTGTGTTGCTCAAAACCTCTACTGCATTTCACTGCCCTGGTCCAGCCTTGCCTGCAGGGGAAGCTCTAATTCTTGCAGCCTGTTGCAAACCTGCCAGCTTGAAGTAGCTTCCCCTGGCCAGGGGACAGGTCAGTAAAGGACACTTGTGTCAAACTCCACAGCACCTCAGGTTTGCTGTTGTGGGATTTATGGAATAACCACCATTTCATCTAGTTCAGTACCAGGGAGTGACAAGGCACCAGGAGAGGAAAAACCTCCCTCCCACTTGTCTTCTCATGGCATGCCACATTTCCAGTCTGCTCTGGACTGCAAACTATCAATCTCCCACACCTTTGTCTGAAGGGAAAAGAAAATGTTGCCAGTGTTATCAAAATGAGAACACATTTACACCATTGCTTTATTTTTTTTGTTTCAGAATCTCTATGTCTTGGAAGAAGCTTCACACTCTAAAGAATAAGGTAATCAGTTTGGGTTTGTTTTTTTAATTATTATTTTTATTAATAAAAATTCCCACTGTCAGGCCTTCCTGGAATAGCTCTCTTGTCTTTTAAGGAGTGTACTCTAAATTGACAGAAGTAAATTATTTCTGATCTCAAGGCTATAACTTTTCTTCCTGATATGCAACAACAAAGTCATAGATGTCAAAGACACATTTATTTTTAGCTACAGTAAACACTTAAATGAACACTTCATCCCAGTGAACCTGTCAGCATATGCCAATCAGAACTGAGACCTGTGAACAGCCAGACGCCAACAAGTGGTTTGGGTTTTTCTGCAGGGTCAGACTGAGGGAGCTGGAGCAGTGGCTGCATTCCCAGAGCCTGGGGGTCGTGTCCAGCCCCCCAGGAAACAGAAGAGCACACAGGGGGGTTTCTGGGAGAGCTGCAAAGCAGAAGCACCAGCACAGGAGAGGTCAGATTCTGCCTCAGTATCTGGACAGTGAAGTATCCAAATGGCTCCAACTGCCTGTGCCATCACCACTTCAGCCCCAGAAGAAAACAGTTTTAAAACTCCAGTTACTCCTTGTGCTGCCTTCTGGGTAACAGCCACTAGTGATCACCTGCTATTCATCCCATAAGCAAGCACAGAAAGGTCAGGGAATAATTTGCCATCATTAAAGACTTTTTGCCCTAGAGCAAGAAGAGAGGCTTCACAGATCCCCTCAAAACACACAAAATAGTATTCTGCAGAAAACAGCAGGAGACAGGCTGCTTTCTCTCTAGGCCTCTAGAGTGACACAGCTTGGACTAAGAGCTGTCACTGGAAGTCCTTAACTGGGCTTCCCACCTTTCCAAGCACAATGCAAGTGTTAACATAGGAAAGGAGCTACAGGAAGGGCAGAAGATGTTAAACAACCAGCACTCCTGCTTCCCAGGCTGGAGCTGCTGTGTTGGTTCATGGGCTGTCCAAGAGGCATTCCCAAAAACACGTACTCAGAGATGCTGTGGGAACTGAGTTGTCTCAGAAAAACATTGAGAGCCACCAAGTTACATCAAGTCCTGGCGCAACGAGCAGCAGCTTCAGGAGCAACTTCCACTGGGTGCTCCTAATGACAAAGGATGGAGACACTGAGACAGAGGAGCCATCTCAAGGCCACGATTTAAACACGACTACTGGGGAACAAAGAGCAGCAGTGTGTACTGGAGGAGGAAGCAGAGTCAGGGAAGGGGAAATACTGAATGCCAGTGGATTGTAAGAGGGAAGGGCTTGCAGCACAGGTTCTCAGGCAGGCTGCAAGCTAAGCATGGACACTGAGGGTGGAGAAACATTGATCTCCTCTTGGTGTTAAACCACCATAGCTTTGTAGAACAGGGATTTTGACTGGAATGAAAGGGAGGTAAAGGCAAAGGGTCTAACAGCCTCAAGGGAAGCAGACACAGGGCAAGGGAGTTGACCTGCCTGTTGAATGGGCTGCAGACTCAGCTTTTGTGCTCATGGAACAACTGGTTACTGGTTGTGCAAAATCCTATTGCCCACTGCAATCCTCTGCCCTGCAAACGCCACAGAACTGCAGGACTACAAACTGTGGTGTCACTTGCACCTAAGACAAAGATTAGCAGGGCTGCTTTGCCTGCTTATCCTTTATTAGCAAGGAAGCTGCAAGAGACAGAACAACTCAACAACCAGAAAACAACCAGAGTTTCCTGCATCTAAGAATCTCTGGGTTTGCAGAGCTAGCCTGCATCTGTCCTCTGCTCGTTGTGGCTCAGTTTCATGGTCTCATTCCAAGACAGTTTCTTTCCAAGGCCCTGTCGGTGCACCAGACAAGCACTGTCAAAAGGAACATGCCAGCTTCTCTCACCAAAAGCTGGTCACTCAGCCGTGAGCCAGAGGAAGACTTCCCAAAGCCACAGAAGTGGCTGCACGTTGGGCTGGCAGAGCTGTCAGAAAACCCAGCCGTGTTCCACACGCATGCACAGACACACTCCAATCCCACAAACTGCACTCTGCTCCCTTGTCTTCACAGCTGCACACACAGTAAGTCATCTGTACTTTAGTGCTGGAAATTTTCCACTACAACTATAGCTTTAAAGCAGTGCTACTTCTGAGAGCAAATCCTGCTCCCAGGTTACCTGTAGCCATTTATTTTCCCTGATAGGAAGTTAGAACATCTTTGCTTTTCAAACCCTTAGAAATCCATCAACAGCCAACTCTACAATACGCTAAAAGCCAGTCCCAGAGTGACAAACGTGTCACACTTCACTGCAGCAGAAGCAGATGGATAAAAGAAAATGGCAAACATATTTCTTAACCTAAAAAAAACAACACCCTACAAAACACACACCTGAGGAGTTTTCATTTCTTCAGGGTGACACAGAGGCCTTGAACAATATTGCAGAAATTAAACCAATCAAGCTGATGCTTATTATGCCAATGACCAAGATGCAATCATAGGAAACTGGACCCAGGGCATCCCTCAGGTCTTACCAAAAACAGTTCTGTAAAAAAGTCACTGGGAATACAGTGATATGGGATTGCTTAAACCCAAAGGACACAAAATGCAGGGTATTCCCACAAGGCACAGCTCTGAAGTTGCTCATCTCTCCAAAGCTTTACTGACCTTCGCCAAGTCACTACACTCTGCTGCTTCCCTCACTTTCTCTCCCAGTTTTATCACCTCATTTTTGTAATAACACTGCTGGGGGAATGAGAGAAAACCTAGAGAATTATTACAATGGCAGTAGATGAA